TAACGAGGCAGGTGTGCTCGCATGTCATTTCTTTATCGGCTCTAATCTAATTCTGGATTAAGTCATAATACATTAAACCGCTCGGACGAGACCGAGCGACAAGCGTTCTCCTAGCTTTCTCATTTCGACTTTGCATCCCGTAGTTAGTAGCAGTAAATGCAAATTGCAACCTAATGGGGCGTGTTGTGAGTGTTAAGAAGTCATAATTTATAGGCCGTAGCCTTCCGCGTTAAGAAAATCCGGAAAACAATCTATATATTAAAGATAAGTTGCAAATAACATGTAATAACATAGCAAAAAAATTATGTAATGAATAGTGATATCCTGCCTAATATTGAAAATTTTGATAAAATATTTATTACATTAAAATAAATCTTTAAGACAAATCAATACTTAATTGAAAGATAAAGGCCTTACAAAAAAAGATAAGTTTTTTGAAAAAAGTAAATTTTTATCTCTTCAAGAAACAAATTTTAATTTTTTTCGTTAAAAATTTTCTTCTAATTGTTTCAATTTGAAGCGTTTCTATTCGTAAGCGTTTGTTTTTCGAATAAATAATAAAGTATCTGTTATATGAGTTATAATTTGAGAAAGGATCATTCTTGAAGCGTCCTGTATACATTGTGGCTCATTTATCCAAAGTAGATAAAATAAGCTATTCTTGTTTTCTTTTTGACCGTACTATTCTCTCGGCTCCCTGTGAATATTAAACACGCACACACACGACACGCACAATTGTCCGAACGAAAAAAAACGAGGACGAATATTGGCGCGTGTGCCATTCACGTTTCGATTTAACCTTCCGGCAATCACGTTTGTGTACAAAATGCACGAATTTCATGATTCAGTCAAAAATCGAGCGTGCTTTCCTTAGGCGTAATTCCATACTTAACTTAATAACGAATAATTTTCGTACTGCTGAAAATATATATTTTGTATAATTCAATTATTTATTTCTAAATTATTCTATTTTTTTATCGCACACCCAATACGGCACAAGTAAAAATATAATTAAAAATATATATAATCGAATAAAAAAAAAAGCGAATCTCTCTTTCTCTTTCCTTTTGTTCTACCATGATATTACGCACGATTTTTCTCTCTGTCAATTTCCTTTTTTGGCACAGCCCGAGGTCAATACGATTAATGCGATTAATTAATATCGCGTTTCTCGCTACGATTGTAATGCGGACCGTGGCAGTTTTCTCGCATCGGAAATAGCGCAACAAATTCTGAATGAAAGAAAGCGCAACGAGCGATCGTACAGGTATACGGGTGCAGGTGATTGAAAGCCGATACTCCGCGCTTGCACCAGACGCAGTTGCATGCATCACTTCCCGACTTCCCCCGGGCGTCAGACAGCCGTCCTGGCCACATCCGTATCGGCGCCAAAACGTTTTTTTTATTCAACAACCGTCGCGCAATCGCGCGACATTTACGGATTCTTTCTCCGTATCTTATTGCCTTGTGAAAATATATTTACTCATAAATAATGGTACCAAATAATAGTTTTATATGCGTAATGTAGTTTTCTTACATCTTCTTTTATATCCATTGTTATTGCGATGCGTGACCGCAATGCCAATATATATATCGTATTCTTTTAGAGTACCACTTCGGTTGCTAAATATCATATTTAAATAATACAAAAGCGGAAGTGGCGGGTCAATTTCCGCCGCAATATTACGTCAAATATTGATATTTTGATTTTGAAAAAAAAAAAAAAAAAAAATTAATACATCCGTTGTCTCGTGCGCGTAATAGTTAAGTGCAATCGATAGTTAAGAGAAAATTCAAATACATTGCGAACGGCGGTCGTTCGGATTATTTACTGGCGGAGATACCGGCGGAAAAGTGGAGGAAGAGTTATGCGATACGATGTACGGCGCGGAAGGTCGAAGGGACGGTAAAGGGATATAACACCTCCAGAGCGGAGGCAGGCCAAGGCACTACGAGACACGCCGACACGCGTGGAGATGTACGTGCGTACACGCGCCTGTATCCGTACCGGATATCCGTGAGGTGACTTGCGTCGTATTCGGTCGGAACATGCGGGCGCAGTCTTTTAAAAGGGCCGATCGCGAGCATGAATGCGCGCGTCCGGTGAACGACGACTGGCCGCCCTTCATATATAATCGAAGTATAATTCTACTTTCTTTTCTTTTTGAAAAAAAATAAAATAAAATAAAATAAAATAATCAAAATCTAAGTAACATGAAATTATTTAATTATAATTTTTATTTATATAAAAATATTATTCTCGAGATGAATTCTATAAATTGCCGACGATGTTATTTTAGCGTTAAATACAACTATGTTACGACTTTCAAAACTATCGGTTTAATGTAACGTAAAGCGTCAAATGTATTAATTCTAATAAATTAGGATTACTCAAGTATTTGCTATATTATTAAAATGTGTGCGCGGGTGTGAATTTTTTTTATACTAAACAAATGTTTCCCCTTCGGGGAAATATTCCATCTTTAAAGTCGCCTTTCGTAACGATCATTTATACACATATTTTTGGTGAATGTCAATTGATTTAAAATATAATAAATAATTTATCAAGATTAAAACCTGTACCTACTCTAAGTATTGCACAACGAGCAATATTCTATACATAAAAGTCGCGTAATAGAAGTGTATATTAACCCACACGTATAATATTAATAATAATATAAACTCTTGGAGGGCCATAAATGTTAGGTCGCACAATCGTGCGATGGCGCAAAAAAAAAAAGAAAAAAAAAGAAATACCAAAAGACGAAGCGAGCCTCGGGCTAGATCGCAAATCCAACGTTCCGCGTCTCCTTTAACGATCCTTATAAATCCTTAACAGCGGCGGGTTTATCGCCGTGACTGCCTACGGCGATCGGGTTGCGACTTTCGTAGTTGCGGGAACTGATCGGGCGCATACCGATCGCTGAACGGTCGTGAAAGGAATGGTTTCCGAATGTTTTACGCAAAGCGCGCTTCCGAGAAGCGAAATTCCATTGGAAAAATTTCAACGTAGCAGAAATATTCGGTATTATTCGGAAAAAAAAAAAAATAACCTTTAATTATACTGTTGTATCGTAGGTAAAAATACAATTCGATATTTGCTTACTCACTCCTACGCATCGTGATTTTGATCATTTAAGACTTTTATACTAGACGTTC